AAAAAAAAGAAGTTTGCAGCCTGCAGGTCAACACTTGATAATTCTGAAAGTCCTTGTAAACCTTTGTGTAATGGTGACAGCATAAATTACACATTTCTCTATCTAGAGTTAAAGTGTAGGCATCACATTCCTCCTGTTCTCTCTCCTACTAGAAAACAATGTCAGGCAAAATGTGTAGACTTCCAATGCTTCCAGATTCACTTGTAAAATCTGGTTTGGCGGCATGTTTTCAGCACACACTCTCCTCAAAATACATTAGCAAAGTTCATAAACGTGGTTTAAATTAAAGTCAGATTAATATTTATATTTTTACTTCTCTTTGCTATTTTACCTGTAACTGCCACAGAGGATTAATGTGCATATTAACACAGCAGTTACCGTATTATGATAAGAATTCAGTGGAATCCGAAGGACCTCCACCTTTTGCTAACTATGCATCTCTGGTATCTTTTTAATAACTTCAGGACCGCAATACGTATATAAACAACGTGGCCCAGAAGGGGTCATACTAAGATTATGGCTGCCGGCAGCCATGAAGGATCTTGTTACTGTTCTTTGCAGCCAACTCTCTGCTTCAACATAGCCGAAGTACTGTCCAATCACTTGTATGCAGCTTCACAGTGTGCTCCCCGCCGTCCCTCATGTGGGCCCCGAATCGCAGGTGTTGGCAGCGCGATCAGAGGGAGACAGCATACATCCAGTGGATCAGAGTGATATCGACATACATCCAGTGGCTGATCTTCCCTTCGATCACTGAAACCGGAAGCAATGATGATTTAGTCACTTCCAGTTTCAGTCTGTCATTTAAAGAAGCTGATCTGTGCTTCATCAGATTCTTTGGGGTCCGTAGGTGAAATTAGGAGTCTGATAGAGGACCTGCCACGTATTCTGCGTTATCACATAGGGGGGCTTGTTAGCCCCTTTTACCTCTGATTATTCAGTTGCCCTACAGTCAGGTGTTTTCCCCCTGACCACAGCTGGAGAGGTTATTTTGGGTTCCTATGGAGTTAGGGATCCCTGGACTATTGAACCTTCTGTTTATTTCTCCCTTCTCCCCCCCCCACTATGTGTACACACACATAGTAACGCAAACGCGTTGGGTTACACGTGAAAACGACGAGTGCTCCACAAAGGACACATATCGCCTCGAACATTGGAGTGAAAGCAATAACTTTAGTGCCATCACTCACTTTTATATTTAAATTAAATGATTGGTAAACACTTTTAAAGTGTCCCCTATAGGCAAATTTGGTTACTGTAGTGTTTTGCTATTTTATGGGTGCACACATTTTTAAGGATTTACATGTTTGAAATCTATTTACCTGACCACCCCATCTTTTATATTTTACCAAAAAATGCTTATTAAATTCTGTTTTGTGTGCTCTAAAATAATTTTAGTGTATCTTTTTCCTAAAAAAAATATAAATATTGATAAATATTATGACTGAAAAAATTGCCAATGACAATTTTTTATTCTGCAGTTTGGGGGTTTTAAGCAGTTTTCCAGCCAAAAATTCAGATTTGAACATGTGTGAAAAGTAAAAAAAACTGCTGTTAATCTCCACAATTCTTTAAGTTTTACATTCTCCTACTTGTTGATCTTTATGCTCAGCATTGGTTCTAAGCAGTTTTGCTACATCAGTTATTGTCTGCTCCTAATAATATGTCATTTAAAACATGAGGATTTGGGCTAAATGATAAAATGTTTTCCCTTACATATCCATCCAAAGCACCTAAAACCATGATCCAGTGCATCAAGTCTCTGCATTCAAATGCAGGATTCTTACAGTCTAAGAGTTTTATCACAGTTGCTAGCTTGATGCTCATAGGAGACACGCTTTGCAGTTGTTTGACCTTTCCATGTTTGGTGACTTCAGATCAGGGCCGCCATCAGAAACTTTGGGGCCCCTTACACAGCTTTAGACCTGCCCCCCCCCCCACTGCATTACTCAAGCGACTCTGCTCCACTCCCTGATCACTCTTTGGTAAAGCCTGCTACAGACCAAGCTCCGCCTCCTGAAAACCCCCCTTCCTGATTGTACATGAAGGTAACAAGTTACGGGGGGGGCGGTCTCTTTACCAGAGAAGCTTACACTCTAATGCAGAATGGCACCAGCTGTAGGGGGACTACAAATCTCAGCAATACATTATACTGCAATGCAGAACAGTATATAAATTGGACTCTGAACTTAGGGCTGGTTTACACCATAAAGAGTGCATCCTAGAGCGTTTGGCCTCTGAAACACAACCCCACCACCTCTCTGCGTTCAGAGGTGGGAGGGGGCGTGGCAGTGCATTGAAGTCAATGGCACTGCAGCAACGCCCGCAGTGCGATCGCCGGCACCCGAACGCATGGCACATTAGTGCCTGCTTTCCGGTCCTATGTGATCTGCAAAAATGCTGCATGCAGGGAGCCGGCCGGTTTGTGTTCCAGAGGCTGAACGCTTTGGTGTGGACTGGCCCTTAGTAACACCCTGGACTTAGGAACGCTCTGGACTTAGCAAAGCACTGGACTCTGGGCTTAGGAACACACTGGACTCTGGGCTTAGGAACGCACTGGACTCTGGGCTTAGGAACACACTGGACTTTGGGCTTAGGAACGCACTGGACTCCGGGCCCAACTGAGACCCCGCAGGTCTCAGGTGGGCCCAGAGTCCAGTGCGCTTTGGAATGCACTCTTTGTGGTGTGGACTGGCCCTTAGTAACGCTCTGGACTTAGTAACGCTCTGGACTTAGGAACGCTCTGGACTTAGGAACGCACTGGACTCTAGGCTTTGGAACGCACTGGGCTTTGGAATGCACTGGACTCTGGACTTTGGAACGCACTGGACTCTGGACTTTCGAACGCACTGGACTCTGGGCTTAGGAACGCACTGGACTCTGGGCCTACCTGAGACCCCACACATACCTGAGACCCCACACAGCCAACCTGAGGGTGTCCTTGCAGAGCACACCATAGATCCTACACAGCCCATCTGAGACTCTCTATGGTGGGCTCTGCAGGGGTCTCAGGTGGGCTGGTTGGGGTCCCTTTTCCTGCATCTCACTCCCAGCTCCTCTTTCCTGCTGCTGCCGGACTGGTCGGAAGTGACATTGACTGCCCTGCTTCAGAAAATACACCATACAATACACACAGCAATTCCTTTAGTATATTTGTGGTTCTAAGTGCCTGAACACAAATTTGTTTAATTCTTATCCACAGACCATTTCCTACAGCATTTTGCTTTACTGTATCTACATGAAATAGATTTAAGTTGTACATATCTCTAGCACACTGCAAATCACAAAACCATTTTAAAAACCTGTGTATATCATGGAGAGGAACCATTCTTATTTCTTTAAAAATGGAATCTGGTTCTTTTGGTTTTAGACATCTCATTACAAACTGTACTTCATCTGTGTTATGATTATTGTTTTAAACTGTGGTAGGAGCAGCTGGTAACACATTCTTAAATGTGATATGAGGATTCTTTGATTCTTTTCATCTGATAGGTAGTTTGAGTTAGGTGTTCTTGCAGATTGCTGAATTTGATGCATATCTGCATTCCTGTAAATTTCATCACGAAACCTTGAAACAATAAATGTTGCAAACTGTGCAGCCACATAAATCCATTCAAAATTGTTAGGCACACAAAAGGAACCTTCAAAAGTGGTAAAACAGGACAGAAATTACAAAAAAGAAGGAATCTACATAGACATGCCATAAAAACACATTGAAGATGGTTACTGTGCATCTGTAGGGCATAATTTCTCACAACCACACTATTCCATTCTTTACTCCTTTTGCTACACATTTTGCTAAGGCCTCATTCACACTGCTTAGAGTCGGCCCGTACAGATACGTGTGGCATGCACGGCCGTATCAGGCCGTTCCCGGGAAGGACAGGTGCAGCGTGTGATTATATGCAACTTCCCTATGGGAGGACGCCGTCGTACACTCACCTGAACTGCACATACGCACGTACTAGTACACAGACAGGATGGATCATGTCTGCGTCCCAGCATGGACACCCGCATGGATGTGTCAAGTTCGGGTGAGCGTACAGTGGTTTTCTGTCATAGTGAAGAACAGGCTGCTGCATACAATCACACGCTGCACCTGTCCTTCCCGTGAACGGCCTGATATGGCCGTGCATGCCACGCGGATCTGTACGGGCCGACTCTAAGCAGTGTGAATGAGGTAATAACCTGACCTGAAAATGTAACTGTGCAAATGAAGAAAAAAGTATCACAAACAGTACTCAGCTGTGCTATCATTCTAAAAATATATAGTTTAATACAAAATTAATGTATCCTCTGGACATATATACTGCTGGAACTTTTGCTAGAAGTGACTGTTATTATTTGAATAAAACATTTAAGGTTTATTTTCTAATTTTTATGTAAATGCAAGAAATGTTTCATGTTTCAGAAGACCATGGTTTCTTACTGTATGTTGTCTAATTTCTGAGTGGGGCTGCAACTTTAGGAGTTTTGATTTTCACATTATCTTTTTACCACAGATTGCTGTGGTATCCTTTGTTATATATTATTTGTTGTTTTCCTTACCTAACTATAAGGTACAGCACTTTTGATGTAGCACCTGTTATTCTCTGCTTCAACAAATACATACCTGGGAAAGGTTCATAATCACACCATATTAGAGATACTATCATATATTACCTAATAATGCAAACATATCTCCTTTTGCAGGCACTATGTCAGTCTGTTAATATGCACTTTATTTTTCATGTTGGTTTATGATGAAACAAATGTTTTGTAAACATTTCTGGTATACATGATATATTTGCATGGTTGAATGAAACCTTTTATTTCCATGTATAGAAAAAAGATTTTGTTACTCTTTTTCTTTTATTATATTTAAAATAGACTCTCTGAAAGCAGCAATTCATACTTGTTTTTTAATATATTAATTAACTCTTGCATTTTTATTTCATAACACCTCTGTTTTAGATTTTTATGTCTCTTTTACTTAACTTTTTCTTTTTTTTATGCACCAGATTAAAGTGGTTAATGCTTTCCGCAGTTCCCTGTATGAGGGGCTTGAGAAGCCAAAGGCTCGCAATGCTATTCATAACTTCATGACCCATCCGGAGTTCACACCACAGGTGGCAAGGTCTAACCCCCAACCAATGGACAGTGACAGTGAGGGTGAGGAATCTCTGAGTCTTCTGAAGGGACACAATGAACAAGCATACAACCACAATAACAACTCATCTGCTGACTCATTCCCGTTGGACATCAGAGTGTTATCGCCTGAGAAAACTCTGCATAGCTTGGAAACCTCCAAGTAAAACCAAAAATATGTATCATCTGATCTGACCATCCTGAAAAGGTTACCACATCTTCCCTTGCTGTCCTGGTCTTTCACTCTTTTACAACCAATATGCCTACTGTACTTATCTTCACCTCTTTTAGACATTTGCAAGAATATTAAGCACCATCTAACATTAGGTCCATACAGCCAAATAATATACATGTTTTTGCTGTATGAGAACAGACTATCTTGCAAACTAATGTTTCACACATCACATAATTTTATGCCCGGCCTGCTTTTTTGTGCGAGGCAATCATTTGTGATCATTGTGCAATCTTTACAAACTCATTACAAACATTACATGTCCATTAATGCGTTTAAGCCATGTACTTGGTTATTTTTTTTTCCATAAATGTTATCAGTTGCATACTTCATTGTTCATGTTTTCACTTTGACATCCGGTCACACAAATATATAATTATGTGTTGACCCTTCAACTCCCTGTGTATTCCCTTTTGCCCTGTGCTTGCATGTTTAATGGCATAGCTTCCCTGTTGCTCCCTTTATACATGCTATACCCTGCTTGTTCATCTCCCACCTATTATCCTTTAGCTCTAACTTGAAAGTGCTCCTGAAAAGGGAGTTTGGCATAGCTTCTAATTATCAACCAAAATATGCCTTCCCTTACTACTTTATCTAGGTACAGCAGGCAGTGTATCTGTCTTCCACCTGTTGGACTGCCATACACCACGGTTTCGCTCTACTGGAATTGGGAGCTGCTGTGAACTTGTGCAATCTCCCAACTCCCAGATATGTAATAATAACTAGGGGTAAAAAAGATGCTATTTTGCCAGTCTCGCTGTTTTCTGTACCTCCATTCACCATTATATTTACCCTACAGGAGACGGAATCTGGTGTAGAGCTCCAGGTTGTATAATGGAACCAAGGCTACACTGCCATATTAAAATTGTATTTGTGTAATATATAAAATACCTATTTATGAGCTCTGCAGACATATACAGACATGTATTGAAGTATACGCCTACCATGGTACATTTGCAGTCACTGTTTTTTAAATGAAGGTTAATCAATCTGTAGAGGAGATTTGTACTGCTGATCACCTATACTTTGTTGGGGTGTATCATAAAGGAAGATATGTGTTGATAGCGACTATGGCAAGAGCAATGCATTGATGAGATGCATTGATTACTTTGTTCTATAATAGTATAGGTAAAATAAGCTTTACAAATTGCTTGGTCATGATGAACAGGAGTGTCAATTGTAGCCTGAGCAGAGTTCTTTACACTCTTTAATTCCTTGTTAGTCTTGTGTAAACGTGTCATCAAATTTTCCTAAACAGAACATTATGAACTTTTGTTTACGTCTATGGGGCTGCTATGATTTTTGAAAAAGGACAAGGGATTGATTTTTTCCAAAATTCATATAAAAAGAATCCCTGACATTTTACTTTCCTTTTTATTCAGTGCATATTGACTGTTATTGAAATGTTTTTGTCTTAAACTCATTGCTCTGATAACTACCTTTCCATTTTTGTGGCTGTGGGTCAGCATAAGTAGTAAAGATTGTGCAGTTTGGTAACCAAGGCTGCTTATAAAAGCTAGATAAAAGCAAGCAAGGCTCCTAATTTTGCATTTAGGAAGTAGTAGTATCTATATAAAATAGCTTTGACAAGCTGGGCATACCAAGGAATCTTTCATGAATGATTAGTCTCTCAGGGGATACCTTTCTCGTATGATCCATGGTACATCCCTTAGCAAAGTGCTTGCTGTGTCCCTTTATTACGACTGTACATCAAAAATAGAAAGGTTGACATATGATTGCTCAGATGGTTACTTCTTGTATGCCGATTAGCAAGTCTCTGCGTTTTTGTAAATATTAGTTTATAAATGGCCCATTTTCTGTAAAATTTTAAGTGCAATGAAGGACCAGTAAAGGTGCATCATTGTGTTGACACAATGATGCTCCTTTACCGGTCCTCCAAGACTATAACTACTGGCATCTTTACACCCTAAAGTCCCACATTCTTGTATACACATACATAGAACCATAACCACTACCCACTTACAGTGCAGTTAGTGCTGTATTTCAAAGTCCAATAGCGGCTCCTCACATTGAATTGTTAAATGGTGTATGCTGGGCTTAGCTCTGTGTTGGGATGGAGATCAGTAATAGGCTAATTGTGTGCGTCTACCCAGGTGCGCAAAAAGCAATTAAGGATTATAACAGGTGTATGATCATCCTTAATGTCTATCCCTTGGCTAACTTTGAAACATTAGAAGGCAAACTCTGTCTGGGGTTGCTCATCAATCACTCAGCTTGCCTCCCTGTTTATGAGCTGGAGATAAGGGATGGGTGTGAGTCACAACTCCAGGAATACATGCCAGGTTTGTAATCCTTTAACCCATTGTTAAGCCAAGGCAGTGTTCAAATATACTTTACAAATGATAATGAACAAACCCCCTCACCCCTCTTAACATTAAAAAGACGTATAAATAGAAATGTCAACTCTTAAGAAGCCAAGAAACCCTAACCTAAGTAAAAGCAATATAAACAGCAATTAATAGTTTTTGTTAGATTATGCTATGTAAATGGGAACATGTAATAAATATAAAATAGTTGTTATCCCAATTTAGCTACGAAAGTAGAAATATACTTTAAAGAGGAACTCCAGGTTTGTCTAAAATTAATCCTTGCCACTGCAAGCAGCATTAACTGCTCGTTTTGGGCTAGCGGCCAGAATAAAGAAGATATACTCACCTGATCCTCGGTCCTGCGGCAGTCAGCGCCCACCTCCCTCGCCCTCTGCTCTGACTGTGGTATGTCCCTCAGTGCACTAACGTCTAATGCAAGAGAATGGATCTCCATTACACCCGATGACGTCAGTGGAGCTTAGACCGCCAGAGCCTGGGGGAGAAGAGGCTGCGGGACCAGTCCAGCAGCCAGGCAAGATTAAGGATCAGATAAGCATACTTTCATTATGTTTGCCCCTAGACCAAAATGAGCATTTAACCCTTGCAGAGTATCCTGAAGATCCTCTTTAATACAGGGCATTTATTGAATTGCCAAAGTGAAACTGATAACAGTTACAGGCTCAGTGTTAATAGTCTTCTTATGATATGCATTCTATCTTGTGTCTGAACAGTAATATTTACTATATGTCTCCTATAGATATAATCAATTATAAAGTGCAAATAGATTCAGGAATCTGTGATTCAAAATGTTAATCAACTCTAAATCCATTGATGATCCTCTGAGATTTTTCCAGCATGAGTTTCATGGCATAGATACATTAGCTATTTAATATGGCAGAAGGCCAGCGCAGACATATATGGATTTTTGATTTATTACAAAGTATTTCCAAGCAAAAATTGTATATACCTATTCCTCCAGTTACATTGTTTTTTACTTAATGTGCCCCCCGATGTACTTTGTACATACATATTTTTTTATTTACTAATATGGCACTCCTAGCAAATATAATATGGTTACACGTGGAAGCCAAATAGATGTTCCCACAAGTATAATTTCCTAATTGATTTTAAAAACTAACAGATTTGTATTTATTTATTTTTCTTATGGTCCTATGTTTAGCAGCATTTATAGCACCTGGTTAGCTCCAAGAGATGAGCTTCAGCATTGCGGCTCTGTGGAATGTTTGATCAAAATTAACTGTTTTTCACAGTAAAAAAGAAAACTAAAAGGTGCCCATACACCTATCGATTATCGTTCGGAAATCGTCCACAAATGGCGAACGATAATCGATCAGTTGATGGAAACCCAACCATTTTTTTTAGCGTACTCCTGATTTGCTCGGTCAAGCTGGAAAACTTTTTTTACGGAAAGCAATGGATTCGTGGCGTTTTCGTACGAAAAAAAAATCGCAGCATGAACAATGCGCATGCACAAGCGAAAATCCGTACTGTCGATCGGTGAGTTAGTATTGCTAACGAACGATTATCAAAATGACATTGGCCTGTGGTTGATGGGCTATTTGAGCTAGAATCAAAAGAGGGTTCTTGGCAGTAAGGAAAATTCCTGAACGAAAATCTATAGGTGTTTGGCCAGCTTTACACACACATTGTGTGTGTGAGAATATACTGTTCTCCAACTCATCAACATTCTTGTAAACACTTACCTATCCCTCAGAAAGAGCATGCTTATTGAACTTTTTTTTTTTTTATACATTTGTATGATATTTTATTGATCTAACAGACACTCTTTTTTTCTGGATCTGTTTATAAAATCTAGTCAAATAATTGCTCTTTTTCTCACACTTCAATGTGCTTGGCTGCTTAATATGACCAGTTTTTTTCTAAAGGTTTGACACGGAATGTCCTAACAAGTGTTATCCTTGCTGTTTCCTTTCATACAATAATAAAAATGGCCTTTTGTGAATGTGCAGGTTTGGACTGGTGAAGATTCTTGGAAAAATACTAAATCTATAAGATGGGAAATCTACCTGCAAAATATTGAAAAAAGATATAGTGAAAATAAGTAGAGAGATGTGACTCTAGCAGCTTTATTTAAAAAAAAACTGAAACAATATTACGCTTTATATGAAAAACTAGGCACAATTAGATCCCTATTAAATGATTTTGTACCTTGTAGTAAACAAATAGCAGTTTATGTCAAGGCTACCTACATCACTAACTAACTATAGTGATTTCATCCATACATTTGGTTGTGTATCTTCAGTATAATATTTTCATTTTTAATTTACTTCTAAATGTGACTTAAATGTATACAGGAATCTGAAGTGATTGTATGACACAACTATTTGGGCACACAAGCAAGATTACCAAAGGTTATTTAGAGTCAGCCAACATTCCTTAGGGTTAGGATGCACCTTTTGTTATATGGAGATAGGGATAAGCCTAGGGAGTTACTGCTTCTATGGAGTGTGGCAAATGGGGTGTACATGCAGGAGGAGGGACCCAGGATTGCCTTATTATGGTTTTTCGCCCCAGGATTTTTTTTTATACATACATAGAATATTTGCTAAAAAGTATATGAATT